AATCGAACCCAGGTCCCTGGCGCTATGAGCAAGCAGTGCTAACCACTGAGCCACCGTGCTGCCACTGTATTGCACAACATTCATCAGCTAAAATTTTCACCTGGTAACATCTTGGTATGAGGCTGAGGATACAAAGTGACTCACTGAACCTGAGGTAATTGGAGAAAAAAGAAGTGGACAAGGACAGTGTCGCAAAGCAGATTAAGAAAGCAGAATGTCCGAGTGTGGACAAAAAGACAAAGTAAAAGCCACTATACCTGACTGCTCATGCTATTCACAAATGAGGTAGATGATCTAAAGGGCGCAAATCGGGATAACTGGTTATGATGTGATTGCCATTACACAGACAGACAGGGTTGCATGGTGACCAGGAGTGAGAATTGAATATTCGAGGATATTTGACATATAGGAAGAAGCAACAAGAAGGGAAATAAGTTGGCGTTATTTTGATAGTGCAAGATAATGTCAATACATTCATAACGGAGGATCTCCGATCAGAAGAACAATATGTGCATCCTGTTTGAGTGAAGCTGAAAAAAAAACAGCAAGGGGAAGCAGACATTGGTTGGAGTTATTTATAGGACACCAAATAGTAGTCTAGGGCATGGTATATATCGTGATAAACCAATTGAGGCCTAAAGCCGTGGAGGTCAAGTTTCTGGAGTTGCTTAGCGACAGTTTTCTAGAATAGTGTGTTGAACAGCCAGCTAGAGGACAGGCCATTTTGGATCTAGTATTATGAAAGGAACAAAGGCTAATTAATGATATTGTTGTAAGAGAGCCTTTAGAGATAAACGACCACAATACGATAGAATTTTGATTTGTTTGAAAATGAAGCAGTTCAATTTGAAGGAACAGTTTCAATTTAAATTACAGAAATTATGAAGGCATGAGGCACAAATTGGCTGAGCTGGATTGAGAAAATCATTTAAAGGCATGACTGTACATAGACAATGGATAGACTTTAAATAACTGTTACATGACTTGCAGCAACTTCAAAGTGCAAAAACTCAAAGGTCAGTCTACTGTGGCTGACAAGGGAAGTTAAGGATTGTATAAGATGAAAAGAAAAGGCTTAGAAAGTGACCAGAAATGGTAATAAATCTGAGGATTAGGAAGTTTTTAGAATTCAAGAAAAGGAGGACCAAGAAACCGATCAGGAAAGGAAGAAGAGAATGCAAATGCAATGTAGCCAAAAAAAAAATTGGACAGTAAAAGCTCTTACAGGTACATTTTTTAAAAAATGAAATGTTTGGTGAAGGGAAATGTGGCAAATATGGGTCCATCCATAGCAATATTTGTGATTGAAAATAGAGAAATGGCAGAGAAGGCAAATGATTACTTTATGTCTGTTTTCAGTGAGGAAGGTAAAAGAAATTTGCTAGGTTTAGAGATCAAAGTGACAAGGGAGAATAAGGAATTGAATGAAATTAGAATTGGTAATTAAGAAATTAATTGGACTACAAGTTGATAGGCTACAACCCAGAAAATTGAAGGTGGTGATAGAAATGGTTGATGCACTGGTAATTATTTTCCAAAATTCCATAGATCCTGAAACAAATACTGCATATTGGAAGCTTGCAAATGCCGCCCAATATTTAAGAAAGGAGCAAAAGGCAAAAATAAAAGGAACTACAGACCAGTCAGCCTACATCAATAATAGGAAAATTGCTAGAACCAAAAAAAAGCTGTGATAAATGGACACTTGAATAAAAGTGACCAGATTGGGCATAGTCACCATGGACATGCTAATGGAAAATCAGGTGGGGTAGTGAATATTATTTCAGACATGCTAAGGAAACTGTTACAGAACAAGAATGAATATATACCAAATAAAAGTAAGAAAGAATAGGATAGCACTATAGAATGAGAAATCCCTGCAATCAGATGATTTTCATCCCATTATTTTAAAGAAAGTTGGTGAGAACACTGTCAATGCTCTATGTACTATGATCTCTGCAGCAACACTGTCAGCTGCTGTTGTCAGTTGAGATGACTTCTTATTGTTATCATGTTGGAAAAGAACTTCCTTTTTCTCTTTGGCAGCTTTCAGGGGAACCTCTGGGGAGGCATCGCTCAAGTGTGGTTGCACTTTAATTCCTGGTCCCTAACATCTTCAGGGGTGGGTGGCTATGATGGGCAAAGGTTGTGTGAAGATCCTGGGTAGCAGAAACTAAACGGCTGCCTGCGTGCCCTTAAAAAACCTGGGAATTGGTGCAAACATCCCAGTGGCAGGACAGACCTACCTGCTCACCTGCCAGAAACATTTGGTATTTCACCTGTGTATATATTTGCAATGAACTGTGAAGAATATAATTACATGGGAAAACCCGTCTTGCCCCTGAAAACAAGATTCTGCCCCTTTTATAGATTAGGCAAGTGGCTAAAAATTGCAAATAGATTTCAGTGCTGACAAATGTGAGGTCATTCACTTTCTATCTAAGAAGGATAGAACAAGGGTTTTTCTAAATGGTAAGAAGTTAGAAACAGTGGAAGTCCAAAGAGAATTCTGGTTCTGCATACATGGTCAAGGAAATATCATAAAATAATTAAGTCTAATGGAACAGTGACCTTTATCGACATACAAGGGGGTAAGAACTCCTGCTATAATTATCCCAAACCTTGGTTAGATCTGGTGTTGCTGTGAACAGTTCTAGTCACTACATGTTAGGGAGGATATATTGGCCTTGGAGGGAATACAGAGTACATTCACCAGAATCATATCTAGATTCCAAGAGTTAGTTTAAGAGGAGGGATTACCAGGACTAATGTTTTATTCCTTAGACCTTAGAAGAAGAGAGATATTGTTTGAAGTTTTCAAAATAGGATAGATAGAAATATAGTATTTTCCTGGATTTGAAGTGTTTTGCACAGAGGGCACAGTCTAACAAAGTGTTCGTAGTTTGGATTGTCTTCAATGAATGGTAATTGATATTAGTTCAATTGTTAAATTTGTGATTGATAGAAATTGCTTCACTAACAGGCTTGTGTATGACAATGGTCGTAGTTCAGCGGTTTCAGCTGCTGTAACTTCATTAGGGTTTTTCCTCATTGTGCAGATCAGTGGATCACCTGTTAGCTTCATTGTAGAATGTGACAATTTCTCCCCCAATACCACCTTGCACCCTCCCTGACCCCGAATAGCAGCAGCCAGAATAACAAACCCACATTGGTGTTTAAAAGCAAAGACTGGAGTGTTGGATAAATTTGAGAAACCTTGCATTTCTGACATTTAGAAATTTGTTTTCAGTGACCACCCTCATTGGAGTTTCAATCCTACTAATTTCCTGCATGTTTCCCAATGCAGACTTGATGTCTTTCAGTTCAGTGTTTGGACCCCACTCATGTATCTGTGAGAGCTTTCAATCACTTTGTAAGAGTTGCCCTCTGATGATACATAGTAAAAATCTATGTGCTCTTCACTGGTGCTGATAGCTTCAGTGACTTGTGTCCCAAAATCCCTATCTTGTATCATACCCTGCTGCATAATACTTACCGAGGGTGATGGGGCAAGAACACTAAGGAAGATGAGAACCCTGTCCACTTGGGATATGTGCATTCAAATGTACAATTAGGGAATGCTGTGCACAGACAACCAGCTGGTGTAACTTCCAGAGAGATAAGGGAATGTAAGAGACAAACATGACTTATAAATCATGTTCAAACATTCATTTGTTAATCTTGCAGAAAAAGCATTTCAGTATATTTGTAATATAAAATCAGGCACCATATTTAGATAAAATTTACAAATGAGTGAATTGGATTGTTAATTGAAAGTCTAACCACAAACCAGAAGTTTAGCATAAATGTTATGGATTATGTCTGTCTGTTTTCTATCTATAGTAACTTGTTATTTATTAAAACAAATTACCCAGTTTTAAAGGAATATTCAGCTTTTTGCATTAACAAGAATGTAAATTGCGAAGCAAAATGCTTTGATTCTCACATGAGTATGGCATTAGCTACAACGTTATTATCTACAGGAGATGCTGATCTGCTTCTGAAATTTTTTTAAAATTTGCTTATGGACCCTGTTATGCCATCAGCTATCCTTGTATATGGCCCTATGCACTCGGTTATTTTTTGTTTGTCCATTTGTTCATTATATACGAATTAATGAAGTGTGTTTGTGCTGTTGTCTACCAACCTGATTTTTCTAAAAATCTCTAATGACTCCTGCTTTACGTAAGTGTTCTTCCAGTATTATAGTACTCTTAAGCATACACAGGGTAGAATTACACAGCTGAATTCTAAAAGTGATCTCTGTTATTGCCTGTGGGATTCCAGGGAGGTGGGCCACCATTGCCATCTGTATGTGCCGATTAAAAACAACAGGATCTTCTTTCTCAAAGTGACAAGGAGAAATAGAGAGCTAGGGACCAGAATATCACTGGTTCATTAGTAGAATGTTATTAATGCTCACCAGTTTATTTTTTACACCAACCTTTTTTTGTTTCTTTTGAATTACATATTACTGTTTCAGCACTGCTGGTGTTCTCTCATCAAGTTGCAACAGATCAGCTTCCATGAACTCCTAATGACCATCCACCCACTCTTAAGAGCTACCTAGTGACCTCACCACCCAAGAAATGCGGCAGACCCCTTCCCTTTCCCACCTGTCCCATGCTATCTTATCACCACTTTCTTGGGAAAATTATCCGAGTTCAAAACAGAGGGGGCAGACCAGCACACTATCTTTTTGCCATTCATTCCTGATTTAGAGCAGGAAATTTTGTTTTTTGCACAAACCTATCCTATTTTCATTCCTCTTGTTCTGATGAAACAAAGACCAGACTGGTTCTACAATAAGTAAACAGTCTACTCTGCCAGATTACCACCCAGTCAGTAAAGATGAACTGCTTAATTAGAGTATTATAAATGACTTCAATTCTAACCTGCTGTCATTCATGTATTGCTTAAAGTTTTTAATGTTAAATCCCTAATTATAATCCAGTTTATGTGGATTCTAAAAGTGCTTGGTGTCTTTTTTTTACTTGCAGTTCTGAAAAAGCAGGGGAAATAGCCACCGTCCCACTGACAAAAGTAAGTGCCCCTTAATTTATTGAGTGCATTTTTCAGCAATTTGCAAATAGAAGCCAGTGTACTTTAACAAAAATTCTGTTTAGATTAAGACTGTGGTGATAGTGACGAATTAATTGCCATTTTTGAATTTCCAGTAATTTTGCATGCCACTTTGACCACATCCACATTTCTATTTCATTTGCTAAGTGAGAGCATTATGATGTAACGTTATCTAATTAATGTAGCACACATCACCAGTTTTTTTTACTGCGCTGTAACCTTCAAAGTACTCCAATGCATCATCTTTTGACCTCCTTATGGTTTGCTTATGATGGAGTAGTGGTTTCCTATGTGCAGATCCACCATGTAATCCATGTTGCCGTCTTGGCTATGCAAGTTTTGCCTTCAAACATAAGAGCAACAGTGTGAATTAACAGGGTTATTTTTCATATTGACACTACCAGCAATGGCATTTTCCTATCAGCAGTTTATGTTGGCATCCATTGATTATGATTTTCTGATGAACAGTCAGAAAATTATTAAGTTATGCTTGACATTCTGATTCCTACGCCAAACAGAGAAAATTCACTGCTAATGAAGAAGGCTCTTAAAATTTCTGACAAGTATAATTTCTGCTTAAAATGCATTCTCTACACTTTCAAGGTGTTTATAAGTTATGAAATCTTGATTTTAATTCCATTGCATTATTTGCTACAGCTTGAAAATACTTCTGTGCCTGTTACGATTTTGTGTTGTATATTAGTATAATGTTATTTGCTACTCTGGCAAATGGATGTTGCATCCTCTTTGAATCCAAGCCTGTCTCCATCTGTACAGATAAACAAGTGTACAAACAAGTTGGTAAATAAGCGCAACCGAGCACACGTACCTCTCCGGAAGGGTATACAGTAACTAGGTCAAATGAGACCTCTAGAATATTACACTGAACTTTGAAATGTTAGTCTCATTAACCTGTTTCCATAATTATCAAATCGACTACACGTTCCTTTATACAATGATATACGTTTATTTGAGATGAGCTTTTATCTGGGGAGGGAGGGGAGATGAAGGGATTCTTAGTGTTGTGTCTCACAGTCCATATGCCTTTGAGACATAGTAAAGACATCATCACTGTGTTGTAGCATGTGACCTGAGGGCATAAGGTCTCTTACTCCATTTTGCCTAGGATTGCTTGAAGCATTACACTATATAGGCTGTATGTTAGTCATTTGTAATCTATTAATTTAATGCTAGGTCAATGTGCCTGTGAATGTAATGTCTATACTAGATAGTTGTATTCACCAATGCCAAAACATTCACATCTAATTTCTTAAGGTACAAATGAAAATGCCAGCATTGTCACATCAGGTAAATACCCTGCTGGAGTGAAAACTCTCAAAAAACAGCAGCTTTATCATCTTTTCAAAAGAACAGGCAAAAATGGAAGGAAGAAATCGCATAGAATGTAAGCACAAATATCTCATGGGCAAACTTAACTACTTGGGTGCCAAGCAGGCAGTTATTTTGATCCCCTCCCCTTCCTTCCCTTACCTAGTGGTGAACGAAGCAGGAAAGACCTATAATTGTCAGTTTTCATGCCTATGCTTTTCTTTTCCTGGCAAAGGTTGCAAGCCTGTATCAGGGGCTGTTGCTTGAGGGATACCACTCAATACAAGCATAGTCAGGAGACTCACTCTTACTGTCTGCCCAATACGTATTGGAAAAATTTACAGGTTGCTAATCAACCCATTTGGCTACATTATTAATGTACATTCCATGGCTATCAAGTCTTGAAATAGGATACATCTGGAACCTCTGGTTATGCTACAAGACTTCCAAGTTTCATGTTAGCCTTTGTTTCTCTCGCATACATTGCTTGAGCATCCACAGGGTTCAATGTCATGTTTATCCAATTGCAGTTGTCAAACAAACACATTGTCAATAGAAAATAACACAGAATACCCTCTGGTATCATGGCGACAGTAAGGACTGCAGACACTGGAAACCAAAGTCTGTAGGTGTGAAGCTGGAAAAGCACAGTAGGTCAGACAGCATCAGAGGAGCTGGAAAGTCAATGTTTCGGTCCTGACAAAGGGTTTCAGCCCGAAACATTGACTTTCCTGCTCCTCTGCTGTCTGACCTGCTGTGCTTTTCCAGCTTCACACCTATAGACTATCTGGTGTCATGCCTGAGTCAGTTCTTTCATTGCATCATCCAAGTAATCCCAGTCCCCTGTTCCACAAGATAATAATTGAATGGAATGACGGAATTAGTTTTGTGGAATCTGGTTATCTATTCCAAACACTTTCGATGATCTAAGACCAATAAACAATTTTAAGTGTCTTTAGCATATTAATGTAGGATGTTGTGGTGCATTGCAACTTTAATTGTAACATTTATATGAATTACAGTTATAATGCAGCTCCCTCAAACTCAATCTGAAATTTTACTAGTTCTGATTAGTTTCAAAACCCATTACAGGTAAAAATGTTTTACGGAATGTTTTAAGTTTAAAATAATTGCAAAAGACATTATACTTAACAAATTACACTTAGTAAAAGCAGTCGTGTCAGCACATTCATGTTGAGATGTCAGTTCATGACATTGGTTTGATTGAGCATAGGTCCCTTGTTCTTTTCTGTTGACTGAAGTTCTTCTGCCTTCGACCCTCTTCCTTGTGCATCGAACTACTACGACCCAGGCCTTACTAATCATTGCCAGCCACTAGCCCCTTTGCAAGATCTGAGGCATCTGAACTCTGATTGGCTTATGAGTCCATGAACAATTCCTGGTCAATCTTTGTGTTTTGATAAGAGTCATAGTGTACTCAATGTTTTATGACGCTATGCCCCTCTTAGCTTGCCAATTCCATAGATCTTTAACAAGATAACATGGCACTGGTGAACAATTAATGCATCTGCTTAGGGTATGTAATGTCACCTCCTAGTGATTAACTAACATCTTAAATGTCTCAAATGATACATCTAAGAATTCTCAAATTTATCAATATGCTTTAACTATAGGAGCTATGTGTGAGTCCACAAAAGCTGATACCTAAAAGAAATTAATATTCAAAATAACCATACAAATTGATACATGTAGACCTGTTACATACTATTAAACATGGCTGTGTCTGAGTAAAAGCTGTGTACACTTCAAAAGCATTTTCACATTTGTCAGCCTAAGTTTGTGTTTGCTTGAGCAATAATGTAACAATAGAACATAGAACATAGAACATTACAGCGCAGTACAGGCCCTTCGGCCCTCGATGTTGCGCCGACCTGTGAAACCAATCTGAAGCCCATCTAACCTAAACTATTCCATTATCATCCATATGTTTATCCAATGACCATTTAAATGCCCTTAAAGTGGGCGAGTCTACTACTTTTGCAGGCAGGGCATTCCACGCCCTTACTACTTTCTGAGTAAAGAACCTACCTCTGACATCTGTCCTATATCTATCACCCCTCAATTTAAAGCTATGTCCCCTCGTGCTAGCCATCACCATCCGAGGAAAAAGGCTCCCACTGTCCACCCTATCTAATCCTCTGATCATCTTGTATGTCTCTATCAAGTCACCTCTTAACCTTCTTCTCTCTAACGAAAACAGCCTCAAGACCCTCAGCCTTTCCTCATAAGACCTTCCCTCCATACCAAGCAACATCCTGGTACCATAAAACCATAAACTTATGCCTTCACTTTTAACCTGCCATACAGCATTTTTCTTCACTCACCTGTTTAATCAAGACAAAGTGATTAATTACTATGTGTGCTTTTCATATTGATGAATCGGTTGTGATAACCAGAACACCCTGTGTACTCTGTAACCTACTATAGAGTCTGATAAATAAACATCATAGTGAAAGAAAATAATGTATATCACAGTTTCTGTAGCTTTTCTCGTCAGTTAATAACATTTTACTGCCTTCTGTCCATGTCCGTCCCATTGTCACTCCTGGTAATACTTGTGTTACTTTTTTCACTAAGAATTCTTGTTAACTTTTATGAGCAAGCCCTCCAGGTAGTATATGTGCAACAGCAACAGTGGCTATAACTTAAAATATTTCTTTATTTAATGTTCTTTACATTTTTATGTGCTATTTTTCAAATATATTGGATTTTTAATACCATGTCATGTATGAAAATGTTAATGCATTAATCTCCATGTTTCTGCAATTGTAATTCAGTGAAGGTAAAATATTACATGTGAGTTGTTTATAAATAATTCATTCCCTAAGTAGCCTTGGCATAGGTAGACATATCTTTCTCAAAAGCATCTTTTTATATTCATAGATATGGTGATAAGGAAAATAGTATCTTTATATGGTAATTTTAATATAGGCTTTCAAATGTAATTAAGTAATGCAACTCACTTGAGTTTATATATTGTTACAGAGATAGTAGGAACTGCCGATGCTGGAGAATCTGAGATAACACAGTGTAGAGCTGGATGAACACAGCAGGCCAAGCAGCATCAGAGGAGCAGGAAAGCTGACGTTTCCGGTCGAGACCCTTCTTCAGAAATGGGGGAGGGGAACGGGATCATGAAATAAATAGGGAGAGAGAGGGAGGTGGATAGAAGATGGATAAAGGAGAAGATAGGTGGAGAGGAGACAGACAGGTCAAAGAGGCAGGGTTGGAGCCAGTAAAGGTGAGTGTAGGTGGGGAGTTAGGGAGGGGATCGGTTGGTCCAGGGAGGACGGACAGGTCACGGAGGCAGGATGAGGTTAGTGGGTAGGAGATGGGGGTGGGGCTTGAGGTGGGAGGAATGGTTAGGGAGGCGGGGACTAGCTGGGCTGGTTTTGGGATGCGTTTGGGGGAGGGGAGATTTTGAAGCTTGTGAAGTTCACAATGATACCCTTGGGCTGCAGGGTTCCCAAGCGAAATATGAGATGCTGTTCCTGCAGCTTCTGGGTGGCGTCATTGTGGCAGTGCAGGAGGCCCAGGATGGACATGTCGTCCAAGGAGTGGGAGGGAGTGTTGAAATGATTCGCAACTGGGAGGTGTAGTGGTTTGTTGCG